CGCCCCCCCCCGCCCCTCCGGCGGCCCCCGGCCCCCCCCGGCGGGCGCCAGCCCCCCCAAAGGTCGCCCGGTGGATCGGGTGTCGGCGGCCGCGGGGGACGTGACCTTCTCCCGCCGGGCCGAGGAGTAACCGGATCCCCGGCGCCCTCAGTAAATTTAGCGCTTGACCTTTCCGGTGCGGGGGTCGCTCTTAATCTTTAACCGAGGAACCTCGGCCTTTGGCCGCGGCCGGTGGGCTCCCTCCCGCCCCGCCGGGCGATCCCGAGGGAAGGCGGCGGGCCCTGCCCGGCCCGGCGGGGTCCCGCTTGCCTCCTCCTCACCCACGTCGTCTCTCTTCTCTCAGATTTGGCCGCATCGGCCGCCTGGTCACCCGGGCCGCCGTCCTCTCCGGCAAGGTCCAAGTGGTGGCCATCAACGATCCCTTCATTGATCTGAACTACATGGTGAGTGGCCTTGCAGTGCCCCCTCGGGGCTTCTCCGAGTAGGGCCGCTCTGGCTGCGTTCTAGTAGCTTCCCAAGAAAGCGGGGTGTGGGGTAGAGGCACGGGGCTGGGAGGTTCGGCGGAGCCGAGTACAAGCGCGGCGGTCGGACCAGGTCACCGAGGAGGTGGGGAGCTGAGAGGGTGGCGTAGGCAGAGCAAAGGTTGGGGAGGTGGCAGCCGGGGTGCCTGACCTTCCTCCCGCTCCCCTGCCCAGGTTTACATGTTCAAGTATGACTCTACTCACGGTCACTTCCGCGGAACCGTCAAGGCTGAGAATGGGAAACTCGTGATTAACGGCAATGCTATCACCATCTTCCAGGAGTAAGTATTCCTCTCCCTCTTGCCCCTCTGGAGGATGAAAGCGGGCGTCTTGCGGAGCAGCTCTTACGGTTTTCTCCCTCCTCAGGCGTGACCCCAGCAACATCAAGTGGGCGGATGCTGGTGCCGAATACGTTGTGGAGTCCACCGGTGTCTTCACCACCATGGAGAAGGCCGGGGTGCGTATGCCGCAGTGGCACGTGGGAGAAGGGGTGGTGCTGCTCCCCCCTGTGGGGCGCATCGCCGTGCACAGGGTTGCTCAGGATGGGGCTGGGAGGGAGAAGAGGTCTTTTGCAGACCTCTTTTTTGTTTTTGTTTTTTGTGAGTTGTTGGAGGGATTCTGGGTTATCTAATCACCTTTTCTTTTTTTTTCCAGGCTCACCTGAAGGGTGGTGCTAAGCGTGTTATCATCTCTGCCCCCTCAGCTGATGCTCCCATGTTTGTGATGGGTGTCAACCATGAGAAGTATGACAAGTCTCTGAAAATTGTCAGGTAAGGAGAGAGGAAGATGCTGTCCGGCCTGGAGCTCTCACCAGCTGCAGGGGGTCTCATCTCACTGCCGTAGATGCGTTGCCTCTGGCTGATGAGCCTTCCTCTCTCTCTCCTCCAGCAATGCCTCTTGCACTACTAACTGCCTGGCGCCCTTGGCCAAGGTCATCCATGACAACTTTGGCATCGTCGAGGGTCTTATGGTAGGTCTGGAGCTTGCTGCTCAGGAGGGTGCCCTAACCCCAGGTCCCCTCACGGGAGAGGAAAAGCTTCTGTGCTCCCGGTGTCCCCTGGGATGGGGAGGAGGTGCCTGGGATGCTTTTTCTGGAGAATATCAGCTGCGCTCTCTTCCTGCAGACCACTGTCCATGCCATCACAGCCACACAGAAGACAGTGGACGGGCCCTCTGGGAAGCTGTGGAGGGATGGCAGAGGTGCTGCCCAGAACATTATCCCAGCATCTACTGGGGCTGCTAAGGCTGTGGGAAAAGTCATCCCTGAGCTCAATGGGTGAGTCTTGGCCCTCCTTGGGTGTCGGGAGGCGGCAGCTGGTGCCTGGCCGGCTCTGACCTGTCCCTGGCAGAGGGGTGCTGGCTGCTCTTCCCTGCTGACTCGCATCTCTCGCAGGAAACTTACTGGAATGGCTTTCCGTGTGCCAACCCCCAATGTCTCTGTTGTGGACCTGACCTGCCGTCTGGAAAAACCAGTAAGTGGTGTGGACAAAGCCCTAACAACCTCCAGACCTGCCCCTGCTTCCTTGAAACTCCTTCTTTTACCTGGAAATGCCCTCTCTGCGTTCCCCTCTTCCCTAAGGAGATTTGATGTTGGTGAAAAGAGCACCTGCCGTGCATGACTGGTGCTGTGGTGCTCCCGTCCGTGTGTCTCCTCCCCGCCCCCGGCGGACATTTTGTGTGAGTTGGTGTCTGACCATCTTAAATGCGTCTCTCTTCTCAGGCCAAGTACGATGACATTAAGAGGGTAGTGAAGGCTGCCGCTGATGGGCCCCTGAAGGGCATCCTGGCGTACACAGAGGACCAGGTAAGCAACTCCCAGTCTCGTGGCCCGTGGCTATTTTCTCATTTTTCTGATGGGAGCAGCCTTGCTGGGGTCCGGCTTGGGGCACTTCTGGTCCAGGCTGTGGGTAACCGTATGCGTTACAATTCCGTCTCTGTTCCAGGTTGTCTCCTGTGACTTCAATGGTGACAGCCATTCCTCCACCTTTGATGCGGGTGCTGGCATCGCACTGAATGACCATTTTGTCAAGCTGGTTTCCTGGTAGGTGCGGCCTGGGGGTGGTGGGGCAAACTGGGCTCGGGGCTGGCAGCCACGTTACAGACTTGGCCTGTTCGTCGCCGCCAGGCTGGCGATGCAGGTGATACCCAGACCCCTGCCGAGTAGGGTGGTTCCGACACGTTAAAAGTCTCTTTGATTGAAATTGCTTCTTACCTGAAATGACTGCAGCCTTGTCCTTTCCGTATTTGGAGGGCGTACGGGATGCTTCCTGCTTTCTTTACTGGAAGGGAATGGGAAGCCGCCTGCTTCACTTGGGTGGCGTGGGGCAGGGGAACAGGAACGATGGAGGAAGGGGATGCAAGAAACGCGTCAGTCCTGACGGCTCTTCTGTTTCTGTCCCCAGGTACGATAACGAGTATGGATACAGCAACCGTGTTGTGGACTTGATGGTCCACATGGCATCCAAGGAGTGAGCCGAGCACACAGCCCCCCTGCTGCCTAGGGAAGCAGGACTCTCCTTCGTCGGAGCCCCTGCCCTTCTTCACCACCGCTTAGCTCTGCATCCTGCAGTGAGAGGCCAGTTCTGTTCCCTTGTCTCCCCCACTCCTCCAACTTCTCCCCGAGCCTGGGGGAGGTGGAGAGGCTGATAGAAACTGATCTGTTTGTGTACCACCTTACATCAATAAAAGTGATCACCATCTGAAATGCCTTGTCTGCCTGTCGGTGGGAGATGGGAGAAAGTGGGGGGGGGCAACGAGCAAACATAGGTGCCTGCTTTGAGATGGCCGCCAGGTTGAGGCTGTGGACGCAGGCGGTGTGGGAAATGGCAGCAGAGGCGTTTGGGTGGCTCGGGCTGTGCGTAGGCACGGCGCGGGCCTCGGATACCCGACTGGCAAAGAACAGCGAGGGCCAGGCTGCCCTCAGCGGAGCGGCGGTGTGCGGACTGGTGAGCTGCCGGTGCCGGGGGTCAGGCTCCTGCCTCCGAGCCGAAATCAGGCGTGGTGCAGGGCTGCGCTCGCAGGACTGCTGCGGGGTAGAAGGGAAAGCGGCTCTGCCGCTCCGTCCGCCTTCCAGCTCTCCAGATTTGCCTGTCTGGTGGGTGTATGCAGAATGAAGTGCTGAGCAGATGACTTTTTTTGCATTTGGTTTGGCACAGCGGCACAAGAAATGGGAATTCTTTCTTCTTGTTCCCTCTGCCTTAGCAGAAATGTTACAAGGAGGATTTTTCATGTGCTTTTACCTTCAAAATGAGTCAACTTTCCCTGGAGGAAATGGCTGCCTAGGGATGTGTCAGAGGCTGGTGTTACCATGGTGGTAGCTTGTCTTAATTCTGGCTTAATTCTCTGCGGAAGGAGGGGTGGCTGTGTTTAAGCTCCTGAGCAGCAAATCTCCGCAAGGTGAGCGTCGGCCCTCTGCCAGGGGCTGTGTTACTGCCTCCTGGAAGCACCGACGCTGCCAGGCGGGGGCCGAGCCTCCGGTGGCCTAGAAGCGCTGGGGCGGAGAAGCGATGCGCAGCACAAAATCGCCGGGCCCTCCATTTTTAGCAGCTCGGTTTACTCTCGATGTGTCGCTGTCTCCCTGGCAGGCAGGGTTGGAGCTATGGTCTAGACCCCAGCTGCTTTAGACCCTGATCTGGAGCAAGGACTTAAGCCGGAGGATTTAAGCTCCCAGGATCAAGGTATGTTAGACAGTGTCCTGCAGCCGCTTATCTCCAGCGGTTGGGCTGCGTAAAAAAAAAAAAAAAAAAAAATAAATTTTTACAGGACCAGAGGGGGATGA